CCCTTTTAGCCGTGGGGGCGTCATCATTATGTGACGATCAATCCCACTATTCGTTGGTAAAAGAGTAGCCCCAGAGTTGGCGGTGGGTGGTGATGATTAGCTGTCTTCCCTCTAGTCTTACACTGCTAAATTAGGGACAGCTAGCGCAGATAGCCCTCCTGTAGCTTTACGCGAAATCCATAATAAACAACCAAACAGACAAACAAGAGAACAAACACGCAGAGAAGCTCGTTGGGATTATAAAGACAAAAGAGCAAACGCAGAGTTCCCTTTTTTATGGATAGCAGGTGTGGCGTGCTTCACATCAAGAAAACAGGCCACACCTGTCCTTTTCAAGAACTGTTAACAAATTAAAAACAATTATTCAATAACGACAAACAGTAACTCAAAACAAACACACGGTTAAGCTGTACACTCGGAGAATTTGATAATATAATTGTCATGTGCATTACATAGGCTTAATTACATTCTTCAAATATACATATTTTGGATGAAAGGTCGATGTGCACACTTTAAAATTTTCAAATTATGTAAGCAATGGGACCTTTCCGAGTATTCGCCTGGCGCCGTGGTGTCATTGGCGTTGTTGATAATCCGCCATTACTCGACATTGACACCAGTCATAGCATGAAGAATGTCCCGTCGATAATCGATCTCAGCCCGTGCACGTGCCAGCATCTCTGGAGTAATAGTCTCAATTGCGTTGGTTATTCGGGTATAAAACGTTGCTATATCCGTTGTATTTTAGACAATGTCCTTCACATATCCTTATCTAAACCAGTGGGAAAAACTTCGGAAGTCAGTTCTCAACTCGTAACTGTTTATCTGGTGTGGTTTCTGATTTTCTGTTCTTTTCATGTTTGGGGTGTTTTAAGTTATAAAAACTGTTGTAATATTTGCAAAATGCTCCAGGAAACAAAATACAAATAGATCTAATGTTTACTATAAAATTTAGGTGAAAATAGATTCAGATAAACGGGAATAATTGTTCTGTGTTTTTACTTTGTTCAAGTTTTTCTGTTTGTTTTATATTGTGTGAAGTGAACCTACTAGTTAGAATTTAGCCTTCAACAACTACGAGGTAGATAACTGGGACATACAGATGTAATAAATTATACTTTGCTATATTTATAAAAAATTCTGTAAAGACGTTTCGAGATAACATATCTCCAGCTGCTAACGCCAACTGGGTTAATCAAGAGTTTTTACAAGTGTGCAGTTGATCACGAGTTGTGCACCTGTAAAAATATTTGTTCAGTTCAAAATTCACCTATATAAGTAGCTTCAAGTGGATAAGTATTAAAACAAAAAGATATATAAGATTATAACATTCCATTCCAGAGTTGATAAATAAATGTATTTACTAGAATGTTCTTCATTTTTGGGATCATTTATTACTAGGCTTGTATATATGAGGAGCAATAAAGCGTCATGTATTAAAAATGATGAATTTAAAATATAATTGTGCAGTTGAAACAAATCCTTAGTACTTAAAATAACACAATAAGAAACACCAAGAAAATGATTCAATAATGTGTGGTAACGTTTTACAAAAAAGAGCAAAATCTCACTTAATCCATATAGTACGCCAGATAACTTTGATTATTTGAACTTACATTATTACTATATGTAGTACGGAACGAATGTGGACAAAATTATCATTGTATATCAACCACATTATAGTTACTGTGTTGTCATACTTTTAAGATTCATAGATTATTTTTGGATTCTAGCCAGTTCGTTAGATTGTCAATGAAATGCAAGACTCCAAGTCAAATATGTAAAAGTAAGTGTAGTTTACAAAACATAATCCCCTTTTATCATAAGAAGAACAGTTCAAGGCTGCTTACTGAATCACCTGACTAAAAGTAGAGGGCTCTACTGTTGTGTAACAAGAAACTGATCCAATCATAGCTGAGTATATTATTTTTTTATGTCCGTGAGAAATGAGCCTCGTCTTTATAAAGTTGACACATGTTGATATGATTCTCTTCTTGTCTACGCAGTTCGTACCGTAACAATTTAAACAGAGAAAGTACTTTTTGCGGTAAGTTACTCTAGTAGAGAATATTAAATATGTATACCACTGATGCTAATTTAGTATGTTATTAGCACCATTGCTAATTTAGCATATTATTATTATTTCAATTTTATTTTCATGAACAGGTATTGAGAAAACTGTTTAAGGAATGAAGCACGTTACAAATCAAGATATCATCAGCCCGAAGTCAATGTTTTAAGATGTCGCTTATTTTTAAACGTGTTTCGTTTTAACAACATGCTGTCGTATAACTGTTTTGTAAGTTTAGTGTATACACTAGGAAGCTTCACCTATATCGTTATAAATTTACTAATTCGAGACAAACTTGGAGTAAATTACCTACTTGAAACGTGGTAGTCAATGCCATTTTTTTATAATTCAAGAGGGCCATATTCAAAGTGATCTCGCGTAACCTTCATTAGCAATCCTAACATAAACACAAACAAAACATTCGGCACATCTCTCAATCATTTTTTTTTTACTTATTTCTCCTCTTTACAAATTTATTTTTATATTGTTGTTCATTATCCTAGTTATTGGCTTCATATTCATCTATTTATGAATATACCAAATAGTCTGTTTATAATAAAAAAGCAACAACTCGAATGCACAAAATATCTATAATTATCAAGAAATTCTGTGCTTTTTTATTAAGCACAAAGCTACACAATAAAGTATCAGTGCTCGTCTCACAGAGAGTATAGAGACCCAATTTTTATCGCGGGAGCTTTTGTAAGAACATGTAATGGTATTCTAAATGGGCATATGTTTACTTTTGATAAGGAACGAACTTGAAACATCTGTATGTATGCAATAAAGATAATTAACTAGTTATATTTAAAAACACGAGGAATAAGTGAAATCTTATTTGTTTGTTGCTAAGCTACGCGATGGGCTATTTGTACTGTGCGACTCTCCAAATCTGGTTTTTAGCGATATAAGCCCGCAAACTTGCCGCTAAGCCATTGCGGTCATAAAAGAAAGTACAATAATTATACGTTGCGAAACTAGTTACAGCAGATGGCGTGAAATTCTTTAATACGTAAATTGGTGTTTTGATAATTGTATAAATAAGTGTTATTTTTGGCAAAACATTACACTCCTGAGGATGACGCAATAGTATACGTCGAAACATGTAGAGTGTATAAGATTGTTCTCCAGTTTCATCGGGGTTTTTTACCACTTTTTAACCTTGTACAGTAAGTTATTGTATTTTAGTAATTTGGAGACTGGCTACAATCTCAATTTTATAAACTTATATATAAAATAACAATTGGACTTTTGATTAATAATTATAAAACGTTTTTATATAACTTACAGCTGACTTATAGAAATATTTTTTATGAGTGTACTATTAATAATGTCTCAAATTCTACTTATTAGCATATTATTGGTGACATAAATATTATACCAAATTGTAACCCACAAAACATTCTTGATAAAAAATAGATAAATAGTTTACCAAAACATTGTGAAAATGTGACCTTATAGAATTAATAAAAAGAGTTAAGGTGAAAATATAATTAAAATAGCCCGGCATGGCCAGGTGGTTAAGGTACTCGACTCGTAATCTGAGGGTCGCGAGTTCGAATCCCTGTCACACCAAATATGTTCGCCCTTTCAGCCGTGGGGGCGTTATAATGTGACGGTCAAACCCTCTATAGGTTGGTAAAAGAGTAGCCCAAGAGTTAAGGTGAAAATATAATTAAAATAGCCCGGCATGGCCAGGTGGTTAAGGCACTCGACTCGTAATCTGAGGGTCGCGAGTTCGAATCCCTGTCACACCAAATATGTTCGCCTCTTTCAGCCGTGGGGGCGTTATAATGTGACGGTCAAACCCTCTATAGGTTGGTAAAAGAGTAG